CATGCAAGCAAGTCTACTGCCAGCGCAGCACGGTCGACCGCGTGCCAGCACGACTTGGTCGACCGCGCTCCAGCAGTGCAAAGTCGACGGCGTGCCAACGTCGCAGGTTGACGGCGTGCCAACGTTGCTCCTGCAGAACAGCAGCACACCCGCTTCGCAGGTGCTCGCAGATGATTACCGTGCAGTGCCTCGTCACCTGTACAGCGCATACACCAAGTCAACTTTCTGCTGACCAAGGTCTCTGACCAGCCATGTCGACCTCGGAATACCACCACCGAGGTCTGTCAGAATGAACGAACAGGAATGATTGAACTAGCAGTGAAATCAGTACAAGTACCTAACCCTAGAATTGTGTACCCCCTAAAGGCTAACCCACTGTAGCCTAAACAACCACAACATATATAATGTTTGACACACCCCCATAGGCAAAGTGGGGGGGAACAAGGGGTCACAAGACCAGTCAGAGCAAAGCAAAGCACAAGCAAGCTCAGGGTGGATCTCAAGGGATACCACACAAATTCCGAGCACAAGCAAGTGGTCACAAGACCAGTTCACATGCAGTTTGATAATATAGCAAGAGGTACAGTAATCATAACCTAACAAGTAAAAGCATGCAGGTATATATATAGAGATCACAGTACAAGCAAAGTCAAGAAGTAAGCAAGTGAGGTCCAGTAGGCACAAGGCCTAGAAGAGTACAGAAGCGCTGATGGTCACAAGGCTGAAGCGCCTTGGTGAACACGTCAGCAGTGTTGGCCTGAGTGGCCACGTAACGCAGACAAAGCTGACCACGCTGCTGCAGCTCTCGAGCCAGGAAGTAACACAGAGCGATGTGCTTCGTTCTGTGCTCCAGTTTGTGCTCCTCACACAAGGCAATGGCAGCCTTGTTGTCGACGTACAGCACTGGAGGAGAACGAGGCCGCTCTCCCAAGTCGGTCAGCAGGTAGGTGAGCCAGCGTAGCTCCTGGGCTGCCATGGCTGTGGCGTAGATCTCAGCCTCACAACTGGAGCTGAGAACAGAAGAAGAACGTGTAGAACGCCAAGAAACTGAACCAGAGCCAAGGCTGAAGGTGTAACCCTGAGACGACCGCTGAGTGGCCTGGTCGTCTGCCCAAGAAGCGTCTGAGTGCCCAGTGAGAACAACTCGGTCTTGCCCTCCAAGCACTAGCCCCATGCCCGACGTACTGCACAAGTAGCGCAACACCCTCTTAGCGGCATCCATGTGCTCCTTCCGGTGACGGCCAGGAGCGACATAGCGTGCAAGGATGCTAAGAGGGTATGCAAGGTCAGGTCGAGTGCAGGTCATCAGGTACATGAGGCAGCCCACAAGCTCTGGATACGGGCCACTCGGCTCTACGGACTCATCCGAAGGCAGAGCTGAGAGCGAGTGACCGGTAGGCAGAGGAGTGGACTGAGGCGAGGAGTACGTGAAGCCGAAGCGCTGAAGGACCTGCCGCACCATGTGTGACTGAGTCAAGGTAATGGTGCGCCGTGCTCTGTCCCGGGTGATCCGCAAGCCAAGATAGCTTGTCAGTTCACCCAGGTTTGTGCACGTGTGTCTCTTCTGCAGCTCCGACTTCACGTGGGCGAGAGCCTCAGTGTCAGCAGTGGCAAAGACCGAGTCGTCGACGTACACGAGGATGTAGAACGGCGGCAGCGAAGTGTCTGTGCGCAGAAACAGCGACGGGTCAGCAGTAGAAGGCGCGAACCCAAGTGCCGCAAGTGTCGTCCTCAGTGTGTTGTGCCACTCACGTGGTGCCTGGCGGAGACCGTAGACCGGCCGCCGGAGGCTCCACTGGGTACCAGGAGGAAACGACCCAGTGAAGCCAGGAGGGCGGCGCAGCCAGATCTCCTCGTGCAGGCTACCCTGCAAGAAAGCAGTGCTGAAGTCAAGAGAGTGAAGCTCGTAGTCGCGCTGAGCGGCTATGTGCAACAGCACCCGAAGAGTGGTCATCTTCGGGGTGGGGGAGAAGGTCTGGAAGAAGTCGACTCCCTCACGCTGACTGAAGCCTCGAGCAACGTAACGCGCCTTGAAGACAGGCGGAGAACCCGGCGGCCGCTTCACCCTGAAAATCCACATGCCACTGACGATGTTCGCCCCTGGTGGGGGAACTGCGTCGACGTAGGTGCCTGTGGACTTCCAGGAAGCCATCTCTGCGTCCATGGCTGTCTGCCACTGAGAGGAGTAGGGACCCGCTATCGCCTCTGCGTAAGAGCGCGGGGTCGGGATGTCTGGTGCATCCGGGTCTCCCTCAGGGGCAACTAGCATGGACACGAGATGAGGCAAAGCAGCAGCAAAGCACTGGAACTCCTCCTGCCTGTCCTCAAGGACGTCCGTGCCAAGAGCACACTCACCCCCGACGTACGGAGGACAGACAGACTCAGACTCAGCAACAAGGCTAGCGGCGTAGTCTAGACGACAAGCGGCAGCAAAGTCAACTAACTCAGCAACGAGAGCAGACGCAGCAGAGGACTCAAAGGTAGGGTCAGTGACAACAGTAGCGAGGAGACGCGTGACAGTAGGACGGGCAGCACGAAGGGTGTCAGACTCCGGGTCAGCAAGAGTAGGAAGAGAGGACGCAGGAGGAGACGGCAGAGGGACACGCTGAGGAGCAGTGGAGGGACGCAGAGTCATGTAGTGAGTGCCAGGGACAGGAGGAGGACGCTCACGCGGGACACGACGACCAGTGCGAGCAGCACGAACAGGCGACGCAGAGCGAGACGCAGGCGACACAGGACGAGACTCAGGCTCACGACGCTCGGTAAGACCTCCTGTGGGACCAGTGTAAGGAGAAGGACCAGGGAGCGGCGAGGCAGGCGGTAACTGTGACTGTGACTGGACAGGCGGTGGACACTCTAAGGAGGGAGCAGGACAAGGAGGAGGAGGCTGACCAAGAACCTGCTGAAGGAGCGGAACGAAGTACGGCCGGGGCCGCGCAGCGACTCCAGAACCAGTAGAGACACCACCAGCACCCGCAGCAGCTCCAGCAGCGCCAGCTCCAGGGTCGTTAGCACCAGAAGTAGCCCCAACTCCAGGGTCCGCAGCACCAGCAGCAGCTCCAACGTCAGGGTCCGCAGCACCAGCAGCAGCTCCAACTCCAGGGTCCGCAGCACCAGCAGCAGCTCCAACGTCAGGGTCCGCAGCACCAGCAGCAGCTCCAACTCCAGAGTCCTCAGCACCAGCAGCAGCTCCAACGTCAGGGTCCGCAGCACCAGCAGCAGCTCCAACTCCAGGGTCCGCAGGACTAGCAGCAGCGCCAACTCCAGAGTCCGCGACACCAGCAGCACCAGGAGAGCCTCCAGCACCAGTAGTAGCACCTCCAGCACCAGGGTCCGCGACACCAGGCGCGCCACTCCGGAGAGTGCAGCGCCGCTCGTACCACTCACGGATCCGCTCAAGAGAGGGCAGCTCCCGCTGAGGAGGGGAGGCACCAGCACCAGTCCCAGTAGTACTCCTGGCTCCAGAGGCACCTCTCCGGAGGCTGCAGTACTCTGAGTACCACTCACGCAGCTGCTCCGAGGAGAGAGCTCCTCCAGGTGTAGGACTCCCAGGCTCAGCACCCCCAGACTCAGAACTCCGCGGCTCAGCACCCCCAGGCTCAGCACCCCCAGGCTCAGTACCCTCAGTCTCAGTACCCTCAGGCTCAGTACCCCCAGACTCCATACCCCCAGACTCCGCACCCCCAGGCTCAGCACCCCCAGACTCCGCACCCCCAGGCTCAGCACCCCCAGACTCCGCACCCCCAGGCTCAGCACCCCCAGGCTCCGCACCCCCAGCAGGACGAGAGTCAACAGCCACCTCGACAGGCTCACCCGGGTCTACTTGGGACACACCTGAGGGAGCGGCACCCTGAGGGGGGAGGGGGTCTACCACAGCAGCACCTGGCGCGAGGAAGAGAGGCGGGGGGGGGAGCGGGGCAGTGCGGTAGGGGAAGAGGCGGTAGTAGGGGACGGACTCGTCAAAAGTGACGTCCTGGGAGGAAAGGATCCGGCGCGAGGTGGCGTGGTAAAACTGCCAACCAGGCGCATCAGGGACAAAGCCAAGGAAGACACAGGGAACAGCGCGGGTGGAGAGCTTGTCCGCGGACGTATCGCGGACAAAAGCTCGAGATCCCCAGACCCGGAAATGCGACGCATCGCCAACCTCCCCCGTCCACAGCAGTGTGGGCGAGGTCTCCGGCAAGGAGACACGGGGCCAGAGGTTGAGCTGATGCGCAGCGTACCGGACCGCAAACGGCCACAGAAAGTGGGGGGCAGCCGCATGGATCAAGGAGGTACGGGCGACCTCCATGACTAGGCCAATGCGGCGCTCCGCAACCCCATTCTGCTGTGGAGAGGCCGGAAGCGTGAACGACTGCTCAATGCCATGCTCAGCACAGTAGGCTGCCAAGAGGTCGGAGGAGAACTCACCACCTCTGTCAGAGTGCAAGCGCAGGACAGGAAAGTCCGAGTGGAAACGCTCGCTGAGCTGGAGACGAGCTCTGCGGATCCAAGGGATCAAAACATCAGGGACCTCACCCTTGGTGCGCAAGGGGAAGACCGTGGTGTAGTGCTTGTAGTCGTCAACAACTATCAGGAAGTACCTCTCCTGACCCTGACCACGGACGCGGGCTGGGCCCCACACGTCTGCAAGGGAGCAGTCGTCGGGGGAAACGAGGAGGAGTGAGGAGCGGCGCGCTGCCGCCCCTCGACACAGGGAAGACAGGGAGGAGCAGGCGAGGGTGGGAGGGGAGGGAGGACCCTGGGAAGACCAGAGACAAGGTACCGTTTGTGCATGGCACGAAGGCGCTGCACAGACGGGTGGCCAAGTCGGTGGTGCCAGAGGACAGTCTCATGCGTCAGAGAGCGACACGAGCAGGGGGCCGACAGCTGACCTGACGCAGACGCAGACGCAGACGCAGCGACCTGAGGGGACTCAGTGGTCAGTGTGTACAGGTCCGACCCCGGCTGCCTAGTGAAGGTAGCCAAGTGGCGGCCCGTACGAGCACACGTGCAGTGTGTCACGCGCTCGTAGGCAGGGGTGAACTGGTGAACACCCGCGTCCTGGAGCGCACACCCCGCCACCAGGTTTGTAGAGAACGAGGGGAGGTGGAGACCTGACAGTGTGCCTGACGGGACCGCAGGACAGGGAAGGACAGTGGAGGAGGTCGCAACGACCGGGCCCCCAGAGGGGTCAGCGAGGGAGACAGCAACTGGCCGAGCAAGCGGCTCAAGGACAGTGCGGTCACGAAAGAAGCAGCGAGAAGCACCTGAGTCCAGTGTGAAGGTGTGTAGTGCCTCAGTCGACTCAGTACCAGGGGCGGCAGACGCACTGGCACCTAGAGCAGCAGCCTCACCAGCACCTGAGGTAGCAGACACGCGAGGACCTGAAGCGGCAGACGCACTGGTCCTAATGCCCGGGTCGGGCGGAACACACAGGTACTCAGCACCCTCTCCACTAGTAGACATCACATACATGGCAGTGAGAATAGCATCAAAGTCTAGAGCATAGATATCAATCCCCTTCTTCAGGAGATCAATCCAGCGGGGCAGCTCAGTGGCCTGAGGGAACTGAACACGCCAAGCGTCGTTGAGGCGAGCGAAGCAGCGCTGCGTGGCGTGTGGTCCCCCACACGGCTGACCAGTGCGGTCACCAGTGCGAATGACGTACGTGCAGCTAAAGCCACCCCCCCCCCCGTGCTGAGAGTACCACTCACGGACCTCCTGGGGCGACGGAGTGTGCTGCTGGCTCTGGCCACCGCCAGCGCCTCCACGACCACCACCTCCGCCCCCACCTCCTCGACCACCCCAACCCCTGCCGCCGCCGCGTCCACCGCCACCCCCACCACCGGCCCCGCCCTTGCCACCTCCCCCGCCGCTGCCGCCACCACCCCCACCGCTGCCACTCGCCCCTCCAGCCCCGCCACCACCCCCACCGCCGCCACCGCCCCCACCACCCCCTCCCCCGCCGTCACCTCCGCCTCCCTTGCCCCCTTTGCCCTTGCCGCTGCGGCGTCCGCTCGAAGCAGACGCAGTCCCGACCTTCTCAGCACCAACGAGGTCGACAGCAGCAGCAGAGGCGACAGAGGGAAGAAGGGGGGAAGGAGAACACCCCTCAAAGAACGGGGTGCGGGGGTCGCCACGAGAGGCACCTACAGCGACTATGCTAGCCTCAGCTGCAAGTAGTTCCTTCTCGAGGAGGGCAATGGTGAGCTCAGTAGGGCAGCGAGCTAGGAAGGAATCCCTGACTGCACGCAGAGAGTCAGGGAGGCGGGTGACTAGGTGGTAGAGAGTGAGCCAGAGCGGGGGGGGGTTCTTGTTGGTGTAAGGGCCTAATAAACTCAAGCTATTAGGACTTAATCAAACTTAAAACCTCTCCTCGGGGTCACCTCCAAGGGTCCCTGGGTGCCTGGTACAAGACCAGCCCCTATCCTCGGGTCCGAGTTTGTAGAGAGAGGGATCAAGAAGGACTTAGTCAAAACAGCAAGAGTACCTTGAACGTCGTGCAGCGTGCCGTGCAGACCGTCGGTCGGATTAAGCTGAGAATTCGCTATATCGAAGCTCGCTCCAAGAGCTTTAAAATGAGCCAAGTTGCCTCGCGAAAAGTTCTGCCATTACGAAGTTATGGCTCGGACAGCGTTTGCCTAGCGTTGGAGTGCTAGCATACTAGCGTTGACTCGGGTAGCATTCCGCCGTCGAATAGCGCAGAAACGAAATTCCAGCGAGGAAGGAATTCGCTTGAATCAATTTGACTATATTCAGGTACAAACAGAGAAGGATTAAATAGTTCTAGCTAGCAAGGACCTTGGGAATCAACCTGGGAACAACCAGGGATGATCCCAAATAATTCCAAGCAACAGAACCAACCTGGCTGGACAAAATAGCAGGTGGTAGGTTGGTAAACAACCTCTGGTTCTGTTTTTCCAACCTGGGAAAACAACAACCAGGTTCAGGTTCTAAAAACAGAACCTGTTTTGTCTTTGCCCAACCAGCCAAATGCTGGTTCCGCTGGTTTCCCCTGGCCTTGTAGCATGCAGATACAGACAAACAACATCCAACCTTCACCTAAATTGTACCCCTATAGTGCCTTCCCTGCTACACTATAGTTAACCAAACAAAACAGTACAATTTCGAGTTGGATAGAACTGAATCTGCGCAATCAACTCAACCGAACTGCAAAGCTTCCATCTTGGGTTCCTTTGCGAGCTCGTCCTTTCTGCTTGCATTGTTCATAGCGCGTACAATGTCGTGCCGAAGCGCACATTGCGCGAGTACCTGCAAATGCATCAAGCAAAAATTGCGAAAGCAAACAAACACACGAACATTCCATTCACACCCAAATGCATTCGCACACGCATACTCGTACAAACAGACGGCAGGATGTCGTGCAATGTAAATTTGCACCCAACACACTCCCCCTCAGCCTGCCGGCTGCATCCCCATCATTCCATGCTAGTTCATGCTCATTCCACTCATGCGCACACAACGCCAATGAGGCTCATCCGCAAGCCTCTTGGTGAGAAAGTCTGCTGGCTGCTGGTGAGTCTTGATGTAGATTGGATTCACCGTCCCCCTCTTCACCTCCTTACGCAGCCAGTGCCACTTGATACGCATGTGCTTGTTCAGGCCATGAAGCACAGCGTTCCTGGCCATCCCAAGAGCCCCCTTGCTATCACAAAACAGCGGCGTAGCAACTTTCTGCTCCTGGCCAATCTCCTCTAACAGCCTCCTCAGCCAAATCACCTCCTTCACCCCATGGAACATCGCCATGTACTCTGATTCTACGGAAGAAAGTGCCGTCTCCGTCTGCTTCTTGGACCTCCAACTAACAGGTCCTCCCCCAACTACGCAGATGTATCCTCCCACAGATGAGGAATCCTCCTTCTCAGAAGCCCACGTAGCATCGGTAAAGCAAGTGAGAAATAGCTTGCCTTCTCCAAGCCTCTCCCCCTTCTCTTTCAGCACCTCCACCCCTTTCTGCTTCACCTGTGCAGATGCGGAGTATTGAACTCCAATGCTTGGGTGAGAGTTCAGGTACTTCACCACACGCTCAGCTGCATCCACCTGCTCCTCTGATGGATTCTGCACCACCCTAGCCAGCTGCCCAACCGAGAAAGAGATGTCGGGCCTCGTGTGAACTGCTGCGTACAAGAGGCTGCCCACCAAGGACTGAAATTGCTGCTGCTCTTCAGCTTCAACCCCTTCATCCTTTGCAGCCTTCACAAGCTTGAATTCTGCTGGCAGGGGAGTTGCAACCTTGCGCTCATTCTCAATCCCATACTTCTCCCCCAGCTCCTTGATGAACTTCTCCTGGTGCAGCTTCAACCACCTGTGATCTGGATCCCTCTCCACGTGCATCCCGAGGTAGTACTTTACCTCCCCAAGGTTCTTGCACTTGAAGTTTTCCATCAGTTGCTGCTGCACTTTCTGGATCTCCTTTATGCTGCTGCTGAAGAGAAGAATGTCGTCCACATAGACCAGAAACAGCACCAGCTTCTCCCCCTCGCCCTTGAGAAAGAGGCTCTCATCACAGCTGCTGGTCCTGAATCCCATCTCCTCTAAAACAGCTGCCAACTTCTGGTACCAGCAGCGTGGCGCCTGCTTCAAGCCGTAGATGGACTTGTTGAGCTTGCACACCCTGCCCGTACCATCCTCATACCCAGGCGGCTGCGTCATGTACACATCCTCCTCTAAAATCCCATTCAGGAATGCCGTTGAAATATCCATCTGAATGATGAATTTCCCACTAACAGCTGCATCTGCCAACAAGACACGGAGGGTAGGGGGTTTGGCAGTGGGAGCAAAGATCTCGTTGAAGTCCTGCTTCTCCTTCTGCATAAACCCCTTCGCCACCAGCCTACTCTTGTAGATGGTGACCTGCCCCTTGTCATCGGTCTTGATCCTCAGCACCCACTTGCATTGTATCGCTTTCTTCCCATCAGGCAGCACCACCAGATCCCATGTCCTATTCTCCAGCAGACTCTGGTACTCAGCATTCCTAGAAGCCAGCCACTTGTCCCTATCTGGTCCAGCTAATGCCTCCTCCATGCTAGCTGGTTCCTCTGGTGCAGGGGCAAGAAAACAGTACGCAGGCTCATCCTCCTCATCCGGGTCATAGCCATGAGGTAGAATCAGCAATGCCTCTTCGGTCCCTAGCTGCTGCTCTGCTGCATCAGTTCCTGCAGTCAGCTTCTTAGTAGCCATACGGGTACGTCCTGGCCTGGAGACGGGTGTCTCCCATCCCTTCATAACGACACCCTTCAGCTTCTTAGTTTTTCCCTGCTGCTTCTCTCCTCCCTCGGGTCCAGCAGCTCCACTAGTGCTGCCGCCAGTTTCCACACCATTTTCTCCACCAGCAGATGCCTCCTGTACCTTCTCTCCATCACCATTTCCAGCAGCTGCCTCCTCTCCCTCCTCCCACACACTAGGAGTCAGGTCCAGCTGCATGGTGATCTGCTCCATCTGCTGGGACACCCTTGCCTCCGGCTGTTTCTCCCAGCTCCCATACATCATGCCCTCAATGAATTTCACATCCCTGCTGTCAAACAACACACCCTTGGATGGTTCCCACAGCAGCCATCCCTTGCTCTCAGCAGCCAGCCCCAAATGCACACACCAGATTGCACTCGCCCCCAACTTACTGCGGTAGGTCTTGGGGACGTGGGCGACTGCCATGCAACCGAACACCCTCAGCATGTCCACCGGCGGCTTCCTCCCAAGCCACCTCTCCAAAGGCACCCACGAGTCATCCCCAACCTTGGTGAGCACCCTGTTCCTAGCGACGGTGGCGTGCCGGACAGCATGAGGCCACATAGAGTTGCTCAGCCCAGATTCTATGAGCAGCGCCCTAGCTGTCTCCAGAATGGTCCGGTTTGCCCGTTCTGCTACACCATTGGACTGTGGGGTATAAGCCGTGGTCAGCTCTCTCTGGATGCCCTGCTTCTTGAGCCAGGCCGTCATTTCAGCTCCAAGGAACTCACCACCCCGGTCTGTCCTAATCCGCTTCACTACACACTCCGCCTGCTTCTCCACGAATGGCAGCCAATCGTCCCGTATCGTGGAGGCGGCGTGGTCCTTCTGCTTCAGCGGATACGCCCACATCAGTCTGCTCCAGTCATCCACAATTGTAAGAAAATACCGCTCCCCCTTGTGCCCTTGCACCGGCAGCGGCCCCACCAAGTCCATGTGGACCAGCTCCAAAGGCTTCTTGCTCCTGCCAGCCACACTATGGAAAGGGAAACGGGTGAACTTTGAAAGCAAACAGATTTCACAGTTGTCATCGGGTGGCTGTCCGTTCAGCTTCAGACCCTTAACAGCTCCATCCTTCTCCAGCTGCTTCAGCAAAGGCATTGCCACATGCCCTAAGCGTCGGTGTGCCGTTGCCCAATCTGTCTCCCCAGATCTGGCCGACACTTTCACACCAACCCCTCCAACGGCATTGCACTCCCCCTGGGATGCAGACCCTTCTCCAGCCTGCCCCCCACCATGCCACGCCAGGGCCGGCAGCTGCCACATAGATCTGTACACGTCCTTGCTCTCGTGCAGATCCCAAAGCACCCGATTGCCTAGCTTCCCCTTATAAGTGCGTGCCCCATCCGTGTTGGTGTTCACCCCAGCCTTGCCAAGCTTACGGAGGGAGATAAGGTTGGCCTTCAGGTCGGGGACGAAGAGAACGTCGTGCAGCACCACCGGCTTGCCATCCGCTCCCTTAAACGCAGCTCGTCCCGCACCAGCCACCTTCAACATGTGTCCAGAGGCGGAGCACACTTCATTGATCGGTGCAGCTCGTACTTCGTCCAGCAGGTCCTTGCGCGGCGTCATCGTCCAAGCAGCGCCTGTGTCCAACACCCAATAGTCTAGGGGGTGCAGCTCTGCTCCAACTTTGGCAGAGGCGTCTCCTTGCTCCCCCTTGTCTCCCACATGGAAGAACTGGCCTGCGGTGCGCTCCTTCTTCTTCTCCGCACCACCGTTGCTCTTCGGGGTGTTGTCGGACGAATCAGCGACCATGTTCGCGCCGTTTTTCTGGTTCCTTCGCGCGCCACCATCCTGTTGACGATTCTGGGGGGTCCATCCATCGGGTTTCTTATAGCACAAAAACCAGGGGTGCCCTTCCTTCTCACAATACCAGCAACTCCCTTTCATTTTGCCACCAGCACCCGACTTGCCCCCACGTCCAGATTTCGCACCGCGACCCCAACCGGTACCTCCTTGTTGGTCGTTGGAGTCGTCGTCCTTCTTTGCACCGCGTCCAGCACCACCGAAGCCACGTCCTCTGCCACGTCGGCTCCCTTGCATCCCGTAGCCGCTGCTGCCGTCGTCTCCACCCCTCAGTTGGCGGCGACGGAAGTCCTCCTCCAGAATCTTCGTCCGCACCCACTCGAGCGTCCACAAGCTCTGGTTCTGCGGCAGGCTCAATCCGCTCGTGAATTGAAGCCACGATTCAGGCAGCAGCGAGAGCATCTTCAAGCACTTGGTCTGCTCCGGGTAGGTGATTCCCGCGGTCGCCAACTTCGCGTACAGGTCGCGCATCTTGTCCAGGACTGGTTGCACCGGCTCTCCCTCGCTCAGGCGCAACGCGGACAGCTCCCTCTCCAGCATCAACGTTGCGACAACGGAGGTCGGGGCGTGCAGCTCCTTCAACACGGTCCACGCCTTCGGACCGCATTCAACCTCCGGCAGCAGGTGCATGACGTGGTGACGCTGGTTCAGCTCCAAACTCTGCGACATCAGATAGTAGCCAGCCGATGAGCGCTCGTCCCAATCTTCCTGCAGCGTGGGGTCACTCGGTCTAGGCTCCTCCCCAATCATTAGTTTCAGCAAACCGATCTGACGGAAATATAATTGCATTTTCCAGGCCCAATCATCATAGCTCTCACCATTGAACTTCTCGACGGTGAAATTCTTCAGCACCTCCTTGACAAGCGAGCCCTGGTTTGTTCGCGCTCCCCTTGGCGCTGAAAGACCAGAATCTTGGCTGCCGCTACGATCTTGGGCTGAAGATTCACCAGCTCCCGCCGAGGTGTTGCCCGCCATAGCTACCTATAACGAGGATCACTATAACGCAGCTCTGATACCAGCTTGTTGGTGTAAGGGCCTAATAAACTCAAGCTATTAGGACTTAATCAAACTTAAAACCTCTCCTCGGGGTCACCTCCAAGGGTCCCTGGGTGCCTGGTACAAGACCAGCCCCTATCCTCGGGTCCGAGTTTGTAGAGAGAGGGATCAAGAAGGACTTAGTCAAAACAGCAAGAGTACCTTGAACGTCGTGCAGCGTGCCGTGCAGACCGTCGGTCGGATTAAGCTGAGAATTCGCTATATCGAAGCTCGCTCCAAGAGCTTTAAAATGAGCCAAGTTGCCTTGCGAAAAGTTCTGCCATTACGAAGTTATGGCTCGGACAGCGTTTGCCTAGCGTTGGAGTGCTAGCATACTAGCGTTGACTCGGGTAGCATTCCGCCGTCGAATAGCGCAGAAACGAAATTCCAGCGAGGAAGGAATTCGCTTGAATCAATTTGACTATATTCAGGTACAAACAGAGAAGAATTAAATAGTTCTAGCTAGCAAGGACCTTGGGAATCAACCTGGGAACAACCAGGGATGATCCCAAATAATTCCA